TTGATTTGGAATTCTCTGTACTTGTAGTTTTTGGTGAGGGAGAAACCAAACCATTGCCTGAAAGGCTCTGGGGTGTTCCAGGCGGCCTTTGGTGCACATGGGGGCTTCTGAATTCCCCAGCTTGTAGAGGTTGGCTCACCTGAGGCGTCATAGGCACATTCCACAGACAGAGAGAAACAGATGCACTTTGGATGCTGTTTCTGTCCTCTGCTCCTGCGTCTGCAGGCTCTTCCCTGCAGCAGCGAGGCTGTATTCTGTGGGCTGCCCTGTGCAGTTTTGCAGGGCTGTAATTCTGGCCTGAAGCTTGACAAACTACCCAGGATCTTTCTGAGATGGGAAATGAGGTCTACACGTTCTTGTTCTGATAAGGATGAGTTCTCAAAGGTGATTTTCCTCAGTGTGTTTTATAGAGTTGATTTTGTATTCCCGAGGGGATACAGACTTCCAAGCTGCTGCCCTCTTACTAAACTTACCATGTACGGCTACTGCTTTCAGTGAAATGGTCTCTCCTCACAGGCAGGGGACGTTTCCCTCTCAGGGCACATTTGGCAGTGTCCAGAGGCCTTTTTGATTGTCACAACTGGGCTAGGAGGGAGTTCAAGTGCTGCTGGCAGTAGTGGGTCGAGGCCAGGGACGCTGCCAAACATCTTGCAGTGCCCAGGACGGCCCTCACACCGAGAGATTGGCCCCAGGTGCCCACAGTCCCAAGGCGGAGGAAGCAACCACAGAGGCATTTGCTTCTCAGCAGGCACTCCAGAGGCTGCCACGCACCACACAGCCTGTCTGTGTGGAGGTGCATGGTGCATTCAAGCCGTTCTCTGGTGGAGCCTCACTGTGGATGGTATAGGATGCAAGTCCCTCTCATAACTAAATATCATGAAGCCGAAGACCAGTTCAGAAAGTCCGAGGCTTCTTGCTGTGCTGTCCCTGGGATGAGCATTAGAAAATGGAGAACGTTCTGATAGCCAGTCGGATTGGGTGGCCAAGGATTCCACTTGAACCCTGTCAGTGGCCAGTGGTCACAGAGAATGGAAGGAAAAGTTGTTAATGGGTTTCCTAATGTATTAGTGCTTCATTATTTTAATGAATCAGCATTAATTAACTTTCGGAAATTTAAAAAGTAACTTTTGTTGTTTGAGAAATATAAAAATTGCATTTCAGCTCAAAAGACAAGACCTCGGAACACAGTATGTCAAAATTTATTTTGTGCTTCTTTGCTACCTTTGGGGCCTTGGGGGCCTGTACCTAGAAGGCAGCAAAGATAACAGCTTCCACTTTTTCCTGACAATCATGCAGATGATGTGGTGGTGGGAATGTGGTCAGAACTGCACCAGCTGTAATTCAGTGTTCCTCGCTGAGCCTAGAACATGGTGGGAGGTAAATAAACAGCAGACAGAGTGTTGCCAACGTATAAAAATGCAATGGTTTCCCAAGCTGGTGCTAAAGTCCTTTTTCCTCTGAGTATAGAGGTGTTCCTGCCCAATTTGGCCCTTCTCTTCCCTAGCAGTGGGGGCTGCATGGCAACAAGTGTGTGGGAGGGTGCTGGGGGGAGGCACAGAGAGGGGCTCTCTTCCCCACTGTGTCTGGGGATATGGTTATTCATGTTTTGCTCTGTCTAATGGAGCATTTGCTGAAGGCTTTTTACTTATACAGATGATATGTAATACCTGCTTGTTATAAAATATTGAATGAACCTAGAAATATGGTAAACCCTGGAGGTTACCCTTTCCTCGCTCCTTTTAATAGTTTGTGTGCATTTTGTCTTTTTAAAAAATACAAGTAATATCTATTGTAAAAGATTCCAAAAGATTAACGCAGAGTATTAAAAGAAATAGATATGATTCCCTCACACCCTCGTGCACACCTCCACCTCCCTAGACGGGGTAAACAGCCCTCAGCGGTTTGATATTTATTCTTTCAGAACCAGTTATGTGACCTAGTCATTCAACACACGCTGACTGAGTTCTCATTCTGTGTAGAGCAGTGCTCATGTGCGAGTGGTGTGATGCTTTACACACACAACTTTTCCTTTTCTTCCCATAAAATGGGATCATATTATCTGTGATGTTCTAAAACTTGCAGTTTTAAAATCATAATAAGCCTCTGACATCTTTCCATGGAAATACATATGAATAACCTCTGTCTTTTATGGCCGCATGGTGTTATAATATGGATGTGTGGACCCTCCTTTGCGTAATGATTCCTTCGTATTGGATAACATATTGGATAAATTAGGATCCAGAGTAGGCTGTGATAGTTCGCGTGGGCCATCTGGGCCTGCTGTGGCGTTGACATGACGTGGGACCCGGGCGCCTTCCATCACACAGCTCTACTATCCCTCTGCTCTTGTCTTCTCCATGGTCAAAGATGGCTCTCCATCTCCGCATTCCCTCCCCGGGGAAGGAAGAGAGGAAGGGGTGAGCATGAGGGCAGCACTTATAATTTGGACACTTCACTTCTGATCATGTCCCATTGGCCAGAATTTGGCTGTGAGATCAGACTTAGCTGCAAAGACAGTGGGAAATGTGCTCAGCTAAAACTTCCATTGGTGAAGAGGAGGGAGAAAATAGATATTAGACCAGTAGCCTCTTCCCCAGTGGCATTTAGATAGGTTACAGGTTTTACCAGGAAAAATATTGTTCGTCCTTGTACATACGGTTCTGTGTACAGATGCAAGTCTTTCTATAGGATGGACACCTAGACATCAAAAGGGATGTACATGTAAAATTTTCAAGTATGCCAGATTGCCTTCCAAAAAGCTTCCTTAATTGACTTTCCCACCAACGATGAACCAGTGCCCTGTGAACACATCCTGGTCAACATGAGGTATTATTCATCTTTATATTTCTTCCCAGTTTGCTGGATGAAGGTAGATAGATAGATAGATAGATGATTCTTATTGTTTTAATTTGCGTTTGCATGATTAATCGAGAGGATGAAACTTTTCATAATCATTGATCATTCATGTCTTTTCTACTGTGAATTACCTGTTTGTGTCTTGTTTCTTGTTTTTGTTTTGTCTTTTGTTGATCTGCAACAGAAGCTTATACACACACATGCGTTCTAAATATAAATCCTCCATCACATATGTTGTACCTACTTTATTCTTGGTATATATTTTTCTCAGAATTATATAATTTTTATGTTATTATATTTTTCTTTAAGGTTTTGTGACTTGTTTAAGAAGGACTTTCTTACACCAAAATAAATAAAAGTCTTTTATTCTGCTTCTATATTTAGTTTTTAAATCTATCCTGATTTTTTGTGTGTGAGTCTCAGATAGCAAGAATGAACAGTTAGATTTTGTAGTATCACTTACTGAATTGTTCATTCTTGCCTTTACTGCATTCAAATGCCACCTTCATTACAATTATCTATGTGGGTCTATTTCTGGACTTTCTCTTCTGTTGATTTGTTTGTCTTGCCCTCCCCAACATCATCCTGTAATTACCATAGACTTATAGTATATTTAATATCTGGTAGTGCGAGTCCCTGCTCATTATTCTTTATTTAAAAAATTTTTTTTGTTTGCTATTCCTGTGCATTTCTTTTCTGCACCAACATTAGAATCATCTTGTCAAATTCCATTAGAGAAAACGCCTGCCGGTACTTCGATTGGGCTTACCGTTGCCTCTGTAGCTTCACTAGGGAAGAATTGACGTCTTTAGAATCCTTCAGTGAGAGTTCCTTGAGAAAGGGCATTTCAGGTGCTCTCTCACATCGTGCAGTGTTGACAAATAAGCACCAAAGGAGGGTGGTTCAGTAGCGTGAAATGGCGTTGTGTAAGTAGAGTCGGTCCCCTCGTGGTGCAGCTGTCTGCGCTCCGCGCACACCCATGCTGCTGGCACGTCGCCTTGTCCTGTCCGTGATGGCTCTTCCATCTGGTGCTTTGCTCTGCACGTCAGGAAACCTCTGCCGTCTGGCTTCCTCGACGCCACACTTCCCTGGGCCTTGTTTGGTCCTCTCGTCTTCTGACTTTTTTCCTGTTGCGTTGTAAACAATCTTCTTGGCAACACCAGAGGCAGTGTTTGTGGCTCAGCTGCTGGGAAAGGCAGTCCCCTTTACTGTAAGTGCACAGCGTTGATTTCTGCCAGAGTTTCAGCACTTAAACTATTGGTGCATAGGAGGGTAAATAAGTGATGGTGTTCTGTGCAGAAGAACTGCTTAATAATGTTACCTTTGAGTGAAAATTTTAGTAGTTTCTCTGGTGAGATGAGGAACGTTCTTTTCTACATTTACCAGTAATCACTGGAGTGTTTTCGAGTACTGAACAGTACAGTGTGTCCAGAAAAATATTTCACTTAGTGGATTCGTGTTAATAGATTATTTTTCTGTGATTTGAAAAAAAATCACAGGGCCAAATCCACTTGTACCCCTTAAGTGTGATTTTTAAAAACATCATCTAGAGGATAGAGTTCTTATGGGTATCTCTGAAATGAAAGGGACAATGGGGCAAACATGTAAATTTGAGGACCTGATCAACTCTTTAGAGCTCGTCTCCTTTATAAGCGAGGTGCACGTTATATTACCTGAGCACAGAGAAGTCACAGAGTAAAATGGTGAGAAGGCAGTGGTGCACATAGTACGCATGTCCATAGGTTTATATGAGAAAGCTGTGGTTTGGTGGTGAGGAGGTGGGAGAGGAAGAGTAGATAATGAAGGTCTCCAATAGGATACGTGGAGGGTAATTTCACAGTGGGAATAAGCCACGTTCCCAGGAGACAGCGAGCCGCTGAACTGGGTGGCAACTGCAGAGGCGTCTGGGGCTGGGGATTGAACTGTGTCAGCCGTCCAGCACTCCCACTGCTGGGCAAAACAGCATATGGGCCGAAGGTGGAGAAGCTGTTTGCTGTTATTTATGGTGAGTAGAAATGATAGCTCAAGAACTCGCTCTGCAGCCAGGCCCAGCATGTTGTCCCTTCCTTGACGTGCAGGTGCTGGTTAGCAAGGCAGAGTTCTCAAGGTATAAGTGACACGGTGCACTGTGTTTTGTTTTCCAGAACTACACTCAGTACATCCCTCTGTCTATATATGACCTGCAGACATGGATGGGCAGCCCGTCAATATTCGTCTACGACTGCTCCAATGCTGGCCTAATTGTCAAGTCCTTCAAACAGTTTGCTCTGCAGAGGGAGCAGGAGTTGGAGGTGAGGCACTTAAACGCCCAAGGATTGGGGCCGAGTCTTTGTTTTGTTTTCTCTGGGGTGGGGTGGGGTGTTGGGCTCCGTGTGGTGCTTCCTTTCATTCTTAGAGTGGAGAATTGTGCAGTGTGCCAGGTGTTATATTCGATGACAAAGAACTTGGGAGGTCCTGGGTACAAGCTTGTAGGCTTATTTTTACATCTCATTTTACTCAGTGTCTTTTTTAATCTGAACATTAATTAAGTGATAACATTAATAGAGTTGATTTGTGCTCCATTGGTCTCTGCCTCTGAGATATATGTTAAAATAAAGCAGACACATTCATTTTAGGAGAAATGGACCCACATCTGGGCACAATCTTCAGTTCCACTACCAGCTTTGTTATTGCCCCAATTCTGTTTTCTTTTGTGTTAAAAAAAAAAAACAACAAACAAAAACCCACTAAGCTAAATACAGAAAATAAACCAAAACAGCTGCCATTGGTAGCTTCTGTTGAAAGAACTAGAGAGCCAGTCCAGTGCTCTGCTCGTGAAGAGACGTTTTACTTGGTTGTTTTAATTAATATTTGATGTTTGAATTAAACAGTGAATTCTAAAGAGAAATTGAAGAGGTGGTTTCAATTAAGAGGCCTCCATTCTGTGGCCTGCACAAGAGTGTGAGAATAAAATATTCCTCAGCCTCAAGGGGGTCATGAATTCCAGTTGGTTGCAGTGCAGAAATTCTCAATTCAGGAGCAAAAATGGTCCAGAGTACATGTTTCCCCAAGCCTTTTTGGGTCTATCCAATTTTAATGTATTGTTATGTTTTTCACATTTCATCAGAGGATATTGTTGTCATACAGTTTAATGTTTTATGTTTATAAATTAAGTCCTTATGCAGAACATTGCATAAGAGTAACTGATGTATAAAATGCCCTTTATCCTTGAAAATGGAACCAAGCACCACAGTTGTTATTTTTGCATTCTATAAGAAGAGAAAGGGAAGATCATATCATCAAATTTTTACCTTGCTTTTGGGCATTTCTTCCAGGTTTACCCAAGGGATAGGTTATCTGATGAGCACTAAAAAAAAAACTCAAAGCACAGAGAGGTAATTTGCTTTTTCTTACATCAAGTAATAAATATTGCCAAAAAAAATTTTTTTTTCATTTATAATACGTAAATAAAAATGCCAAAGAATCCTGCCTGATTTTTATACCCAATTTATGAGCTTCAGGGTGGTTAAGAAAGACCAATAAGTCAGGCTTAGTTAATTAAAACATGTTAAATATGGCCCCTCTCCCACGCTTTTCAGCAGAAAGAGAGCATTTCTCTCTCGTGCATGAGACTAAATATTTTCTTTCCAGCACTTTGAGTATCTGCTCCATCAGTCCTGTATATGTTCTCTCTATGTTGCCAAGGATTAATCAGCCTAGGAAACAGTTCATTTATTAAGTGCAACAAAAAAGATTTCCATGAATCTTTTTTAGGAAAAAAAAAATGTTTAATTGACTGATTCCTCATGGAGGAGAGCAAATAAAAAATTTATTATCTGAAGTGGCAAAGAGACAGCAATGCAAAGTTCCACCATATGTTCTATAATTAGCTCTGACTTTTATCTTCATTCTTTTTTTTAATTACAGTGTAGATAAGTCTTATATTTTTCCAGTACACTTACTGTTATTGGCTGTTGTTCATTTGGTCTCTTGCATAAACAGCGGAAATTAAAATGATAAAATTGGCTCCCAGCACATATCTTAATGTTCATGTTAGTCATTTTATTATCTGCTGTAGAAACAGCAATCCTATGTAGCTTCTTAGGTTTATTCTTTTAAAAAATTCTTTCGCTCTCTACAGTTGGCCAAATTCTATGTAAATTTACAATACATTTTAACACTTTTATTGGGTAAATTATAACTTGTGAATTGAAAGAAGTTGGCAGGTAAAATGGTTTGTGCCGGTGTTTAAAGAATAAAGAGGGTAAGAAATGATTAAATATAATGCAAGAAAATGGTTACTTGGACTAGAAAGCCTCCAAGTAGTAAACATGAACACAAATATGACTGACGTGATTATCAGCTTTGTATTCTTAGTCGCACAGCACTTGTGCTGGGACCAGGAGGTGTAGTTATTGTGGACACCCATCTCAGAGGAACGCGGCAGGTGAGGCAGAGGACTGCTTTTTGAAAGTGCAACGTAATTGATCGCACATAACTGAAACTTCATCCTAGCCAGGAAACGCACAGCTGTCACTCCGTAATCTTCTTTACGTTTCTCATTGTGTCACATTGCTTTGTAATTTGAAAATTAAGGAAAATCTTCAAATCTCTCTGCTTTCAATGTTCTTTTTAAAATAAGTATTTTTATTTTTACCAAATTAGTATGCCATGATTTTAAAAATCAAATAGTACGGAGGCCTTACAATGAATGAAATAGTTCCTGGCCTCACTCCTCCCTAGCCAAGACTGCTACTGAAGAGAAGCTCCTTGAACTGTTCGTGTTTCTAGTTCCTCCAGTGAGTATCTCTACAAATATAAATAAGATGCTTATACTACTACTTCTTGACTCATAAATTTTAGGTTATCTGTGGGCTTTCTGTTGTCATACAATCCAAAAACAGAGCTGCCATTAGTAAATTGTATTTAAAGAATTGGAGAAACTATATAGAACTTTGATAGTAAAGAGACATGTTACATGGTAGTTTTAAGTCGTATTTGTTGTTTGCATTAAATAGTGAATTATAAAGAGAAATTGAAGGGGGGTGGGCCACTAACTACTCCCTCCTATTTCCTCACTGCCACTTAGTTATAATACTCTGTCTGGATTCTCTAATACTTTGCAATTTTAACTATGTTTTTATTTCTAGTTTCATCAGTGATCAGTAGTATCTTTTGGTTTTTATGCTCTTAGCTTGCTTGGACTTGCTTTTTTTCCCCATCTTTTTTTTTTTGGTGAGGAGGATTAGCCCTGAACTAGCATCTGTATCCATCTTCCTCTGCTTTGTATGTGGGACGCCACCGTAGCATGGCTTGATGACCAGTGCGTCAGTCCACACCCGGGATTCAAACCTGTAACCCTGGGCCACCGAAGCGGGGCTCGTGAACTTAACCACTATGCCTCCAGGCCGGCCCCCTTGGACTTGCTTTTGCCTCTCTACCTTTGAAACTCTGTCATCTGCACTTTTACTTTTATGACTATCTTCTGTTCTTTGACTAAAATTAAGCCTCCATGCTTGTGTCTGGGTTGGTTCTAAAAAATGACAAACATTAAACCTCGATTTAACCTTGATTATGACCATGTAAATATTGTTCATTGAATGACTAAGTAGGGTGCTATGACTTCCATTTTAATCACAGTTTTTGTTTGTTTCTTTTATTTTATTGGAAATTTTCCCTTTTCTTCTTGACTTAGATCTTTAATAAGGATAGCATCAAATCTCAGAAAATGCCCTTTTCCCAATGTGTCTTCCTCCCCAGCTATCAACTGCCACATCCAGGTGATTGTTCTAAGCAGACCTGCTCTGTAGCCGTCAACCTGGGATTTCCCTTATGGCTCTCCTGGATGCATCCACTATGTTCTAGATCCCACCTCCTCCTCTCTCTTGATTTTCTCTTTTGTTTTGCTACGGCATATCCACAAATAACAACCTCAGGAAGGATGTATAGGAGTAATCTTTCTCAGACCTTAGATGTTTGCATTTGGAATGCTTTCAGCTATAAGTAATGAAAAATCTCACTATAGGTTTTTAAACAAATAACAGTTTGTCTTTTTCACTAAAATCTGTGAGGCAAATGATTTAATTATTCAGCAATGCCACTGGGGACCCAAGCTGTTTTTATCTTCCCACTCTGGCTTCCTTAGCGGGTTGATGTTTTGTCTTGATGGTTACAGTGTGCCCACCACAGCTCCTGGCATTTCATCTGTCTTTGAGCAGGAAGAGGTGGAGAAAGGCAGTGCCAGCGCATCTGTCTCTCTCACGAGGAAAGCAGAGCTGACGTCCCCTCTATCTCTTCAGCTAGAGCTGGACCACGTGGCCACCCACCTGTAGTTGGGAATGGGAATTGGATTATCTGATGATGAGTGTCAGCCAGGTTGCGTGTGTAAAATGTCTTCATTCTAGCCACATGCATTATTGACAGTTTGGGAACAGAATTTTAGTCTATTTCCACTAAGCAATATCATTCTTACTTCTTGCAGTGGATGAGTAGATGTACTTGAAAAGTCTGCCCCCTGGCCTCGTTGTAACTGTAACCAGGAATCCAGAGGTACAACTACCTACATTCAGATAAAAGCTGTAGAAAGATATTTATATTCGTGGTACACAATATATATGTTGAATGAGTTGGAGAGAGAGAGAGAAAAAGAGAATTCACATATTTTTGAAGCAACTTTTATCTCAGATATTAAATCTTTGGTCTATAAACTAGAACGGATGACTAAGTCTCAAACATATTCTCTTTGAAATGGTCTTTATGAAGTTTTATCCATCAATTCTGCTTCTAGTGGGTGTTTCCCATGGGCAGTTATAGCGCTTTACTAAAGACAGCAGTAAAGCATGGAGTCAAATCTAGGCAATTTTTCTCCTTTTCTTTGGAGGCAAGTGAGTGAGTTGATGTCTAGTGGTAGGAACAATAGCGCCTCTTCTTGTACAAAGACAGATTGGCTGAACCATGCCTCAATAACACTTGGTCCTGAACATAACTGTCTTCCCTGATGTAGGACTAGAGCACAGACAGTTTCTTGGTGGCAGCCATGGCAGTAGTATGAGAATTCTACCCCAAGAATTGTTGCCATGTTTTAGGAAGGGGCTTTTATTAAAGTTTAGTCCATCACCCTGGTGGCATCATTCTCGTCTCTTACTACTTGTTTGCACTTTGCAGGACTTTTCTCATGATGCCTCCAAGTAAATCATGTTTTTATCCGACATTCTCTAAACATTATTATATGACCCACTCCTATTAGCTCTAGCAGTACCATCCAGCATCACAGAAGCTTGTCAAACAGACACTTGTTTTATTTTTTTTATTT